AATGTTCGAAAGTCGCGAAGCTTTAGACCGATTTTGCGTAAAAAATGGATTTCTAGGATGGTTTGAATTAARTTCACGGCAGGGAGAAGGCTACAACGAAGTAATGAAGCAAGCAATTAACTGTTTGGTGGATAAAATCTTTGAAAATACAAGTACGCAAATTTCATGATCAGCGTGTAAGGTATGCAGAAGCCAGATTGACACATCCGGTCTTAACACTTCCGGTTCGTGCTAACAAAGCATGTCTTCTRTATTCCTTGATGCACTTGGATCAGGAGTATGAATTCAATAGGAAACAAAACAAAAACACAAATACTTTGTGTATTTCAGAAACAAACAAGTGGACAGGAATATTCTTCAATAGGACGTTTTGGCATGATGGCTTCATTTGACTTCCACTACCAAGGTGGTTTTTCAAATTTTCTTCCTTATTTAAATTTGTATTCCCTCATGAGAATAGTAATGCAATTGGTGCTAACTAACTGAACAAAAGAAAGTGTGCAAGGGAGTCTGGTTGTTTGCAAGATGCCAACATTGACCTCTACTACCTATAAACTTTGAATTAAAACAAATATAACAAACAATATTACTTAATGGTTTTCTTATGGGTGGGGTACAACATGTTGTGTACACCTTGTACATGCTGTGAGTCAGTAACTTATGTTTCCCACTCATACCAAAAGTGCTCTTTCTACGATGTTAAACTAGAAGGTTCTATTCATCAGATGTGACAGTGAATAATAACTGGTTCAGGAAATGCATAATTTATTACTGTTACAGTTGGCTAGCAATACAGGAGCAGATGTAAGATGTTCATTGATAAGCAAAAAATGACAGCTTCTATCTTCTAACTAGGGAGTTCATACTCATTCTTCAATGGGTTTGATAAAATCAAAACGATCTAATATCAGGACCTAGTTTGTAGTGATCATTTACGAGTTCAATTTTTGTCAAAATTTGTCTGTAGTCTAGGAGCTGAATCCCAAAACATGATGCAATTGATTCTTATAGAACAATATCTGCTCTTTCACATGAGATACTTTGTACGATCAAATTGTGGTATAGGTTCCGAGATATTCTCTACTTTCCCATACCCATGATACTTTGCGGCTTTGGGGGGTAACCAGAGGGAGGAAATGCACTTGTTTTGCTGAAGGCTGATCAGACATTGTTAAAAATACCTTGTTTGGTATCCAAAGATAAAATGAAGAAGTAAAAAAAAGGAGGTAGAAGCTTGAAGAAGTTTAAAGTAAATTTTAAACACTTCTTTGTAATACATTTTCTGTAACACCAAACCCCTTGATAAAACTGATTATCAGTATTGTACAGATAAAAGCAGGTATAGTATATATTCAATTGAAGAATGTTTCAATTTGGGACAGTTTTTTGATTGGTTACCACCAAGGTGCAAAGCATTATGGGCTATGGGAGAGTAGAGAATAGGGCATTCTTTGCCTCAATTTAGTGCTCACCATGATAACGAGGCTGGGTATATTAAAAATTCTTGTAAAATGGTCTCCAATTTTTTATCTTGCAAATTGCATTCACACTAGAACAAGGTTAAATTTGTCTGATTGCAAACATTAATCAAGTCTCAAAATGTTGATAAGCAATGCCTTTTTGACTTGCGACATGTGCAAGGAATAATAATTGACAAACCAGTCAGTTTTGTTGTTTTTTCCAGGATTGGAGCTGGCCAGAGTAGACAACAGCTCCTTTGAAGTTGACCAGGATAAATTTTGGCCAAAGCATAAAATAATGTGTTAGTGATACCAAGCTGATTTAAGAAAATAATATTACCCAATCTGAAAATCAAGAACATTAATTTGCTAAACTGAGGTGTCACCTTTTCTCTTGATATTTATAGATTTCGAGGCTACCAAATGAAAAAGTAACGTTGCTAATACTGCTCTTGATAACAGTGACACAATAATTTATGGGTTTTATATTTTTATTTTATTCCAATGGCAGCATGTTTTTATTTTTTGCTGATCAATTTTCACAGGCTTCACGGCATCTCAGTTTTGTCATTTCTATGTCACTATTTCAGGGTGGAATCTAGTATATTTCTGTAAAAAAAAGACCATTTCCTGTACGTTTGTTCTAAGTCACAGCAAATGTAAGCTGTGCAAAGGATATTGTATTGTACTGTATGATTCAATAACTATATTTAACATTGTGAAATTTCATGTTTTAAAAGGTTTATTGTTTTCCTAATTAAAAGAGATGGTTTTCGCACTACACCAATAAATTTGGTTTTGGTGGAAAAAATATTAATTCTAATAAAGCTAATTTCTTACATATAATATTTATATAATACAATTATTTGTGTATCAAAGGATGAAATGTCTAGTAAAAAATAGTTAATAACTATTAATAGTCTAAATGTCTAATAGTAACTATTAATAGTTGTTGATACTAAATAGTAAGTGATAAAAGTTGATAATAGATAATAATAATTAAGAAATTTTCCTGTTGATTGAATGAATAAATAAAGATTAACACACCACAGTTATAAGTACTGTTTAATAAATGAGCAGGAGTGTTTTATCGTGTATAAAACACGAGGCGTAGCCGAGTGGCTTTAGACCCGATAGAACACGATCTGCGAGTTTATTAAACGGCTTAAAAAACTCCTGATGTATGTTCTCATACTATACCGAATTCTTTACGAAATGAACCAAGTTTGAAAGAAAATCCAAGTTAAAGTTTATGCAAATGAAGGCGAATCTATGTAGTGTTTAAAAAACTCGTAGATAGTGTTTTATCAGGTATAAAAGCACGAGGCGTAGCCGAGTGCTTTTATACCTGATAAAACACAATCTACGAGTTTTTTGAACTGCTTAAAACACTCATGAACAATTTATAAGATTTTGGTTCAACT